TTCTATTTTTTATTTATACTATAATTATAAATAATTTGTTAATTTCAATAAAACTCTATGAAATCAATTCAATTACAAATAATATAAAAAATCCCAAATATGCCGTTGGATGAGTGGTGAGAGTATCTGACTGGCCTAAATTATTTCAAGAAACTTAATTTGTGTCTATCTTAGGTATGTATTTATATCATGGAGACTAAATTAAATATTTACCGATATCTATCTGGGAGATAAACTATGCCGACATAGTGCAGTTTCATAAAGGTTATAGTTTTAAAATCGGCTTATTGAGACCTTTTCAGGGGTATTCTATACCATGTATAGAGATGTCACAATATTAGTTGACTTAAAAAAAAAGATAACACTATGTTCAATGTTTAATAAACTTACAAGTTAAACATTAAACAACACTATTTAACTCTCACGTTAGTAGTACTATTTATAGAGGTATGTTGGAGGTATAAGACACTAGGTCAGTACATAGAAATATGTTACAAAAACCAACAACTCATGTATATTAAAAAAAGTTTTAATAGTTAAATTATAAGTAAACAATAAATATTGTGACAATAATTAGAGGCCAACTGAATTTTTTCTCGAAATAGAATTATTATATGTAAATATAGAACACGAAAAGTGTTCAACCAACATTTGTAATATGATACTTGTTATTTTATCTAATTTTTTATAGTGTTTTAAGCTCAAATGATTTTGGGAGTGGGTTAGGTTATTAAATAACTTGTATTACTTTGAATAAGAAGTTGGGCACCACTATATTTAAAACTTACTATACTTGACTATCGGTTAATGATAAAAATATAGAAAATCACTAACCATTAAGATATTATATTTAAACCAAGTTTTAGATAAGGCAGTACCAAATTCTAATTCACAGAGATTTACCAATTCAAATTTAGATGGTTTATTGCATAAAAATAGACTTATTGTTATAAGAGGAGGTAGTATAAAGGAGAGATTTGCATAGGCCTTCTTCAAAGGGACTCGAACGATACTCTTCGGGTAGCACCAAACTCTTAGGTATAAATCTATAATCTTAAATCTCAAACTTCTTTAGATGTAACTCGAACTAAACCTCTTGATATAACTTGAAATAAACTTCTTTAGATGCAGCTTGAACTTCTTTAGATATAACTCATACAGAACTTCCTTGGGTGTGTTTATTAACTTACTACAGAGTAACGGATTAACTCCTTGTCGTTTATTTACTTACTCTAGATGTTTGAAGAGCCATCTAGAGTTAACACTGAAGCGTTAAAAAACTTGAAAATTTCTACTCTCGAATTAACTCTCCTGACTCTACTATCCGAGGAGAGTTTGTATTAACTCTGGCATCTGACTTATTAATAACAACAAGACAAGGACTTAGTGACCTATCAATTTTGTAGTGTGGCTGTGGTTTCTTTTTGGTTACAATGGAGGAATTTGATATTGTAAACGTAAATTCTAATTCGAAAATAAATTTATTGCCTATATGAATCTGGAGTAGCTAACAGCCATACAACAGCCAAAAATTGGGTTCTTACATTCACATCTAAATTATTATTAGTTAAATATGGGCCCAAAATATTAATGATATTTTCGAATACATCTTTAGACATCCTAAAATAATTTTTGAAGTCCTGAGCTTTTAAATCATATAACAAATAATTTAGAAAATCGGTTCTTTTGCAACCTGTTTTCTCATACGCATAATAAGAATATATTCTTCATCATCTGAAGTTTCGTCACAGCGATCCTGAAATTTAAAGTTAAGATTGATTAAGGGTCGATTTCATCGTTGTGTTAAACGGGGATTAAAATGACATTGTTAATGTAAAAATGTCATTTTAAACTTCGTTTAACACAACGGTGGAGTCGGTCCTTAATAAATAAGATTCTACGTTTTTACTGTATACTGTATGTCGATTATAAATAGAGAATTAATAAAATAATGAATATCAAGTTACATTAAACAACTTTAACATGCAATTCCAAGCATTGAAAGCAAGCACTTCATTGTCCATTATGTCCATTGTCCATCCTAAAATTCTTAAGCGATATATATTATTTATTATTTTTAAAAGAAAAAGAAGCTATCCACGGATCGGGATCGGTTGTTTTCGTGGTTATGACATAGCTATTTGACAGTATGACAGTTGACGTTGGAGTAATTTTTTAAACACTTTTACTCTTACAATTCGGGTTCATCTATATGGATCACGTGACTAAACTCTGACATAATTCCAGATTGAACTCCGAGTAAGTTTATAAACACACCCTTTAGATATAGCTCCTACAGAACCGTCTAGATATAGCCAGGCTAAAAGGAAACGGTAAAAATATTAAGAAAGGAACTAGAAAATTTGCATAGGAACCAGATAAAACGCCATTAACTAATAATTGAACAATTTAAACTATTAAGTGAATAGTTTCACAGAGACTAAATTAATATGAAAAGAAAAAGTCTTATTTAACATATTTAAATATAGTAAAGCATAATATCTCATTCCTAACAAAATAATAGATAAAATTATATAAAACGTGTTACACATGTGTTATTCATGTTGAGGTTATGTTTCAAATTTGACATTTTAATTAAAAAATCTTTGTAGAAAATATATATTTTCAACAATATATCGGTATTCAAACTTACCTTACAAAATCAGACGGCCTATACGACAGATAATAATGATTTAATACATCGGATGACCTAGATAATTTAAAACTGATTCGTTGACAGATACAAAATCGAAATAAAGTACCAACTTTTGACACAAGGCATAAACGACAAATGACATTTGAGTAGAGATGTTGGTGTCAAAATAACGAAAATTGTTCCAACCGTTACACATTCGGTCTGCTCTACTAAAAAATTGACTAGAATGACATGGCACAGTTTATCTCCGAAATACTGATATACATATTAAATAATTTTTAACACTTTGACTTTATCATTCTTTTAGTGTACCTATTTTTTAGGCTATTATGTTATTGTTTTAGCCTTGATTATATTATTATTCTACTCTTCACACAGTAGTCTGTGAATAGTATTATAGGTTTACTTTGTCCAATGTCACAGTTTTTTTCTGCATGATAAGTCAAAAACGAAAAATGATATTAACTTAAAAATTTTAAGCAAAAAAACAAGTTCTATAAGGGGACAAAGCCTATTGTTTTAAAAAAAATCTGATTAAAAATAGGGGAATAAGATGGGTTGAAATTAAAAAAAAATCATAAATTAAAAACGAAAAGCAATATCAACATGAAATGTTTAGTAAAAATGAAACTCTATTGATTTTGAAAAAAGTCTGACTAATTAGGGGAGTTAGGAAGGGTTAAAATATAAAAAAATATCTTAACTCAAAAATGAAAAATGATATTAACTTTTTAACTTCATCAAAAAGCAACATCAACATGAAATTTTTAGCAAACATCAAGTTTTAAAAGGACAAGTCCTTTAATTTAAAAAAAAATCTGATTAAAAATGTGGGTTTAAGGGGGGTTAAAATTAAAAAAGAATCATAAATCAAAAAGAAAAAACGATATCAACATGAAATTTTTAGTAGAAATCATCTCTATAAGGAGATTAGGCCTATTGATTGTAAAAAAAATTGAATAAAAATGTGAGGTTGAAATATTTAAAAAAAAATCTAAATGAAAAACAAACAATAATATCAACTTGAAATTTTTGAAAAATTAAGCTCTACAAGGGGATGAATCCCATTAATTCTAAAAATAATCTGAATTAAAATGGGGGTTAAGGGGGTCTACTAAACGTGAAAATTATAATTTAGAATGCCATGCATTATATATCTTCATTCTAGTTTTTATCTGTGCAATATTATAATGTATTGTTATGGGACTGATCTTATAAAATACACATTTTAGTTCACTTGTTTTTGCCAATAAAGGGCAATTAAAAAATATATTATTTTATTTAACATGTGTGGCAAATTGTGAAAATGATTAGATTTACAATAAAAACTGAAAAATGGTTGGTAAAGTTTCATATAATGATATTTTTTACACAAAAATCAATGTCAAGCTTTCTACATTTAAAATAATCTCAAAACATTAAGACAAGTCAGTTGACTAACTAATAATGTTTATAAATGGTTTTCAACGTATTAAAACAAAACAAATATTACAATAACTAAAATATTCATTTATTCATTCATTAATAGTTGTAGTGTTTGAAAATAATAACTACACTTGTACAAGGTTTTGAACCAAACTTACAAATGATAACATTATTGGAAAAAGTGAACAGACTTGTTGTTTTTGTATGTGATTTACTAGTATGGAAAAGAAGCGAAAAATAGAGAGCGAATGCAGAACATTCAAAGATCAATGGAACTTTCAATATTTCGTGATTGAGTACATTAATAAGGCGCTATGTTTGATTTGCAATGAAAACATAGCCCATCTCAAAGAATATAACATTAAACGTCATTATAAAACGAAACATTTTCAAAATTTCACAAAAGATAAAGGACAGAAAAATTTGAAGCGCGGACTGAAATCGCAACAATCTTTGTTTACGAAAGTCAATATTAAACAAGAGGCTGCAACTCGTGCCAGCTTTCGTGTGGCTCTTAAAATTGCAAAACGTGGTAAACGATTCACCGATGGAGAAATGATCAAATAATGAGTAATTGCAGTAGCCGAGGAACTGTGCCCCGAAAAGGTAAATTTATTTAAAACTGCCAGTTTGTCAGCAAACACTATTGCTCGGAGGGTACAAGACATCGCAGAACATATATCACCTCAACTGTTTGACAAAAATAGACATCTTGAGTGGTTTTCTCTGGCCTTGAATGAATCAAGGAATGTTCAGATACTACTCAGGTGTTAATTTTTATTTGAGGAGTAGATACAAGCTATGAAATATATGAAGAACTTCTTGATATTGATAGTATTCATGACACGACTGCTGGGGAAGATACTTTTAAGGGAGTTGAAAATGCCATTAATTTATTACAACTGATGGAAGCAAAAACATGTGTGGTAAAAATAAAGGAGTGGTTGCACTTGTTTCAAAGGCTGTAGAAAATGATGGTGGTTTAAAACCATTAGACTTACATTGTATCATTCATCAACAGTCCTTGTGCGGAAAAGGTTATGTTCTTAAACCAGTCATATCAGTTGTTAATTTCATCAGATCCACTCGGCTAATTCACAGACAATTCCGCAAGTTTATTGAAGAGATGGGAGAAAATGAACCATATCAAACTGCCGTACTCTGGATTAGTTGCGGAAAAGTCCTTCAGCACTTTTTTGAACTTCGAGCAATGATCGAAATTTTTTTAAATAAAAAGCATTGCCCTTTTACGGAACTACTAAATAGCGAACTGAATTTGAGATTGCAAGGATAAAACCCAGCTTCTTTTTGATTTATGTACTTTAAGTAAAAATTATAGTGCAGTGATATAATTAAGAATTAATATCAAAACTTATATTTGTTAAAATTTTATAAGCTTCTTCAGCTCTGTGAAGCTGGCCCCCCAAAATTCGAAAATTTTAGTTTTAGAAGCGGTATACGTTTGACCACCTATTGATCATGTTTGACCACCCATTAACTTTTTTTGACCATCCTCAGAAACCTAAATATTTATTTATTTTTTCCAAGCCGAAATTCGACTTCCAAATTTTATTTTTCGAATTTTCACACTATGTGGGAACATTAAAAATTATTTTAGGGGGTGGCCAAACGTCAAAACAATTCTAAATCGTTATGGATGTTTATTGTAAACTTATGTCGTTTGACCATTTTTTCCAAGTGGAAATTCGATTTTCAAATTTAATTTTTCGAATTTTCACACTACTTGGGCACATTAAAATTATTTTAGGGGGTATTCAAAGTCAAAATATAATTTTAAACCTTTATGGATATTTATTTTATCCTATTGTGCATTTATGACCCTTGATCTATCTTTCAAAGTTGAAATTCATCTTAGAACTCTTGTTTTTCTATAATTTACCCACTTTAAATTATTTTAGGGGTATCTATTAAAAAAATCTAAGGGGTGGTCAAACATGTTCAAAAATTGGTTAATCTTATGGTGCAGTTAGTTTTAAAAAATATTAACTTCAGGGGGTCAGTGGGCACTCGGCCATTAATATATTTTTAAATATTTAGGTTTCTGAGGGTGGTCAAACATGGTCAATAGGTGTCAAACGTATGTCGCTTCTAAAACTAAAATTTTCGAATTTCGGGGGGCCAGCTTCACAGAGTCTTCCACTAGTACAATTTGCATAAATTTGCTCGTGAGCTGTTTTCTGTTTTTGGTACTACTTACCTACTTGTGTGAGAAAACATTCTTCAAAATGAAGTACACAAAGAATGTTTACAGATGTAAGTTAACCAATGAGCATCTTAAATATATTTTAATAATTGGTCCACAACTACAAACTATTGTCAGTGGAAAATCACAATTACATAAATCTCATTAGTATTTTTTACAAGTGAACACTCCGCGTTAATTTTTCGGATAAAATCCTTGTATGATACACGATACACAATTTCTAATAGGTGTATATACCGACCTTTTGTAGGAAGAGTGCGAGGCTTTGAAGAGTCAAAGCCACATTAATAATTAATTATCTTTTTAAAATGCTTCAGTTTGTCCATGAATATCATACTGACGACACAGTTCGAATTTGATGACACGGCATAATTTAATCCTCCAAAACTTGCCGCAGGCTCGCCCAGTAGAGGATTTTGGACTTTACTGTGGTGGTAGGCTGGGAAGGCTATTATGAAGAAATAAGACGGTAAATTTAGGTCTGTGAACTTTGCACTACAACATTGCAAAAAAGGGTCAAAAATGTGTGAGAGGTTTACCCATCGTTTGCCCATTATTGCCCATGAAATAACTTTTTTTGCCCACCCTCTGTTTTCACAATATATCGAAAATAATTTTCGCGGGCAAACTTCCAGACAAAAGTTAAAATTTTCATGATTTAATTTCACGGCATAATAGAATTAGAAATATTCACAAAAATGCAATATGTTAACTGCATTAGATAATCATTCCTTAGCCCATGTTTGCCCATTTTTTTGTTTCACAAATTTCCATAACAATCTTCAAAAAAAATTGAATTAAAAAAGGGATTTGATGACAATTCCACTATCTGAGATTTATATGAGTTTATTCGTTATAAAAAGAATGGGCAAACATCGAAATAACGCCAAAATATTTGTGTTACTAAAAAATGTTTTCTGAGGTTTGCCCATTTTTTTTAAAATCCTCGTCCAATAGGGGGCTTAAACTCCGATAATAGTGTATTTATATGTGTTTATTAGTGATATAAAAATGAGCAAAATTAAAAAAAAGTGTAAGTTGCTAAGAAATATATACTGAGGATTGCCTATTAAAAAAAATAAAACCCTCGCCCAATAGGGGGCTTAATCTCCGATAATAGTGGATTTATCTGTTTTTACTTGATATAAAAAAATTAACAAACATCGAAATGATTCAAAAATAAGTGTAAGTTACTAAGAAAGGTATTTTGAGTAGCAAATTTTAATAATAATAAAAAACACATATAAATGCACTAATATCGGAGTTTAAGCTCCATATTGGACGAGGATTTAAAAAAAAAATTGGCAATCCTCAGAAAACATTTTTTAGTTACTCACAAACATTTTGGCGTTATTTCGATGTTTGACCATTGTTTTATAACAAATAAACTCGTATAAATCTCGGATAGCGGAATTGTCATCAAATTCCTTTTTAAATAAAATTTTATTGAAGACCGTTATGGAAATTTGTGAAACAAAAAATGGGCAAACATGGGCTAACGAATGATTATCTATTGCAGTTATCATTATGCATTTTTGTGAATATTTTTTTTTTTATTTTCTCTAATTTTTTTTTTTCTAATTTATGCAATGGCATGTTTTTTAATTATTCATTCGTAGACCTTCTTTGGCTTCTTTAGCTAAAGTTATTTCTGTACATGATATAAGTATGATTATAATTTGTTTATTGAAATGTCTTTCTTTATATTACTTTGTAGTAAATTATATTCCATAAATAATTTTCATTTAAAAAACCAGTGACGAACAATATTTAATTATATTTTCCTTTTGTCGGTTATATCCTAGTAGACAATTTGACTAGTCGTATAGGTACCTTTTATATTCTTTTTTATTATTAAGTATGTTTGTCTTTTACATATCCCTATACTTTCCAATAACTGTACACACTATAGAAATCCATTATGCACCTTTAAATTTTCACCAATTATGGTCACTTTGTACACATGTAAAAACACATTATTTACAAAATTAACTATCCCACAAATTAAGTTAACAAGTTGCCTATATGACCATAATAATGATGAGTTTCCGAGAACTTCCAAATAGCCTGTCACATAATGCTTTTTTAGAGACAGCTTGTATTTTGTGTTATTGGATATTGAACGAGTAAACTAGAAGCCGGTAGGTGTTCAGGATTAAATTTCTCAATCAAAACTTTCCAACTAGTTAAATTAGTATGCGTCGAAAGATATTTGAGAATTTATTAGCTGATTATAGTATCAAATTTTAGTGATTAAAAGACTATAGAGTTGGCATCGGGGGTTTATAATAGGAACTGATTTCAGAATATATGTTCAGAATTTTTTAAATACGATGTTTTATTCAAAAATCCATTCATTCGGTTAACTGTTTTCTTTTTTATTTAATATTAAATATCAGATACAGAAAACATTTTTTTTTTAAATCAATTGTTTTTGAAAATAATAATACTCTCCCTAACTCACCCCCTTACGAGTGAATTTCATCCCCTGAAGCTGACTGAGGGGAAGGGACGCAATCATAACATCACATTGTGTATGTGAAAGTAATAGAATAAATAAAAAAATATTGAATTACTTTTATTAGGAATCTCACGATCAATATCCGGCAACTGAAATGGCCAGCTATGTAAAATAAAACTAAACCAGTTCTAAAGCTTAGGTATAGTAAATCTTCTAGTAAGATCTAAACGCACCATATACGGATTTACTTTGGATATACCCCACGAATATACTTAAATAATAATTATTATTGGGTCCACCTTATATTATCTAGCATTGATGTTTACGTATATTTTGCATAATTCATAACATAATCTCAAACAATTGTTTATGCCTTATATAACTGCCGCATGTTGTATGATCTTTTATTTGGACATGACGTATAATATTTGTATTAAACAACTCCTTTTCATTATTTTCCTCTAAAAAAACCACAAATAATAACAAAATTACTATCAGCTTCGATAAAACCAGGTAATATAAACAAGTTACACAATCTGACGACTATAAAATAGTTACTTCACAAGGTGCCGAGATTTAGTTATATTATGTTACGACATTATATACCGAAAGAATGTGGTCTCTTTAAGATGTGACTAGGATCTACATGAAAATACGAATATTACTATAAGACTAAGGCATATACATATAGATACATATATCTCATGCATACTGGCATATGGTTTTAAAGAGGGCACACGCTAAAGTAGCCGATCCATCCATGAGGTCGTCACGGTTCTTTTGATCCCGGATTTCAAGGAAATCCCAAAAATCTGTTGCTTTGACGCTAAGACCCGCTAATAATGATGAGCTGTCGTTGGGGCTTTCAGTTTATGGGTATTATTTACTTCCAGGACTTTTAGCAATTATTTATGAGTTGATAAATGGACGAAGAAAATGTTTTTGATAATTGCTTATTAAAGACTAAAATAATTCTAACTAGTCTATAACATAGAAACTTCTTTGTATTTTGTGTTGCCTACATCAGTACATAAGTACAATTATTTTTTTTATTAAAAGCCAGCTGTTACTTTATTAATACAATGATTACAATGCTTACAACTTGTAGTAGAAGCATGTCCACGGTATGTTTTTATTTTAACCATGTTTATAGAAGAATTAATTAGTTTTGTGAATGAAAGATTATCCATTTTTCTCAAATGTAATCGTATACCTATTTAATTAGAATAAAACTACTCAAAATCGATACCACAAGTTTCGGTCTATCATCATCAGGCCCATAATAAAAAAATAGTGTTGACAGAAGATTTAAAATTTATAAAAGTGTAATACTTACATAGTATGAAATGTTACAAAATTCAAAAAATACACAAACTTCATCCATCAAGTGGTATGAAGAGGTAAAATTGGTATTAACAAAAATACATTTTTCAACGAGTAGTGGTACAAGCTATATGGAAGTGGTTAATTCAATAAAAGGACCGACGGTACTAAAAATTATATTAAAACTAGCACTGGGCGGACCCGTTAGGTAGACGTTATCCTGCCATTAACCTGGATCTTGACAACAGCGCCAACTACCGGGTCTATCTATAGCTAAGAACAATCC